GTACAAGTAAAAAAAAGGTACTAACTTCAGAGACTCACCAGTCTGGCTGCACTGTACTAAGCTCAGAACATAACAGCAGAATATTTCTTACTAAGTACCAAAGTCAAGACTCAAACTCCATAATACCTTTTTTTCCTCCCCATTGAATTTCTTGATTAAAGCAACGATCATCCACAAACTGCTTCCTCATAGCCCAGTTATGCTATCCTGGACCAAACGTCAGAGAAATGATCAGGTTTCAGTGCTTCACACTGCAATACTCACCGAGATGCGACATCAGGACGGTGGTGTTGCCTTCATCCGGCGCATTGTAGATCACAGCGGCGGTTGCACCCCTTCTGGCTGCTATCTTAATTTTTTCAGCAAAACTGCAATTGCCTCTTTCAATCAGTGCTATCCACGGTGGTTTCATGATGGTGAACTGGGTATTTGCATCACAGGCTTGAAGATTAGCAGATTTAGGAATGCCCACAAGCCCCTGAGCACTAAGCAGAGGAGAATTTACTCCATACAGGCCACATTCGCACTGCTCGAAGATGGATCTGTTGCTATCACTGTTGAAATAAAATAAACTGACAGAGGCACGCACAGAAAATGCCTCTGTAGTCTTGAATGAAATACTAACAACTACCAGTAGACAGAAAAAACTGAATGACTTTGCTTGCCTCATTGCTTATTCATATAAGCACAAAATGTAGCTATCTATAGGTATTTTCGGCTGGTGCAGTCGTTGTTAGCCCACAGCCTGCTGAGGAGTTTGAAATTTCAGTTCCAACAGGAACTTGACACCACCCAGGTAAGTCCTTGAGGTATCAGTGAGCTTATCTGACGTGGGGGCTGGGAGGGGACAGCAGTGACACACCTGCCTATTATGACATAGAGATGCAGACTGAAGGACCTGCAAGTAACCTTTGGCCCTAACTTTCTGCTCCTCTTTCTCAAAGCATCATAGTCTTCCTCCTCCTCTCCCATTACAGTACAAATTCTAGCTGTGCTGATGGTTCCTAAGAGATTGCTCAAGCCCCCTGCTCCTATTTCGACCTGAACGTCACTTCAGAGGACCAGGTCATCTTTCAGTCACTGATGTAAACTCAGGGTTCTCACTTCACAATCTGTGATGCAAATAACTTTGTTAAAAAGGTTAAAAGTGGAGGGAGGGAAATATTAAAAAATTCACCCATCTTATGGACTAAGATAACCAAGTCATTCCCCACATTTCTCCTTTCGATTCCTTCAGTCATCTGCTCTCTCAGGTCCAGCTTGTTCTGGTGTTTATAAGGAACCAATTTTAACATCAATTTATACCAATGGAAGAGATGTGGAATCACCTCAAGTGATCACAGAAGCAAACTACCTCTTTCAGACGATTTTCACACTCTAGCTCACTTTCAAGATTTACTTTGAGATAGTTGAATGATTATCACAGAATTCTCAATTTCTGGATCTAGGCTCTACAGATTCTTTCTGCGAATTCAGTGTCGTATTCCATAACAATTACTAGTATCAACTCTTATTTTCTTCTATTAGAACAAAAAAGTGAAAACCTTACTCATGTCAGAACTCCGTAGTCCATAATGAAAATAAAGGACAAATTGTAAAGTCATCAAGACCTTTTTCCTGTTTTTCTGCAAAAGTCATGCTGCACACAGTGCTGAAAGCCAAGAAAAGCTGTTATTGGTGGCATATATTTTGTCAGAAGCTTGGCCTAGTTCTTCTGTAAAGATTCTTTAAAAGAATAGACATGACTGTGGAGAAGATTCTTGGAAAACTGAAACAGCTTTCAGAATCATAGAATGGTTTGGATTGGAACGGACCTTAAACATCATCTAGTTCCAACCCCCCTGCCATCAGCAGGGACACCTTCCACTAGACCAGGTTGCTCAAAGCCTCATCCAGCCTGGTCTTCAACACTTCCAGGGAGGGGGCATCCACAGCTTCCTTGGGCAACCTGTTCCAGTGTCTGACCACCCTCACAGTGAAAAACTTCTTCCTAATATCTAAAGTGAAAAGAAGTGAAAAGAAAATGAAAAGAAATTGAAAGAAGTAATCCAAGACATTTACATATATTAATTAATTTATTTATACTCTCCAGTTTTCAGTGTTGCACTAGTTCTACATCACATTAATTAAAAAATTATCTTGCCTCTAAGATCTATGACTTAGCAAGTTTTATACACTCAAAAGTACCATTAGCTACATACAGTTCACCTTCTGGTTTTCTTTGAAATTAATGCTGGAAACATAAGAAACATGCATATGTAAGATATTAGAGTACAGTTCTTTGGCTGGGTATAAATTCTACAGTCAGGGAATGTGCTCTGATAGCATTTTACCCTCAGCAGTGGCAATACACAGCAGCAAGAAAGATGATTCCTATGACATTTTGCAGCAGTATCTTGGTTTAACATGGCAAAATTAACATGTTTTGACAGACTCAGGATCAAAAATACTTTGGTTTTATACTTGTGTCAATAAACACCAAGTGAAATAAAACAGCAAGTAGTTTCTTTGCAGAGAGGACCTTTGCCCCAGTGCTACAGTGCTGATTTGTTAGGGAGGAGCGAGACAGACAGTGGTGGAACCATGTATTAACACTGCTACACTTCAGAAACTGAAGTCGGCATATTAAATTCAGTGTAACTTGCAGAGATGGGGTAAGTGCCTCTACAGAACGACCAGAGAGTATTGAAATTCCAAGCCTACTACAGGCATTGAATATTCTCTAGCTACACACAAGAGAGCCTGTGCTTCTAATACTGGCACTTCATTCTGTAAGAGTAAATAGCTCTCCTTCCCGGCTTTTGCCATGAAAAATTTCAAACAACACTTCTGTAAAATAAAATTATACCCTTTAAAGTCTCAAGTGCATATTATACATATTCCACACCATTCTGATATTTCTTTTTAGAGTTAGGAAGTCCTAACACAGAGGATGAAATTATTTAATGCTATATATTTAAAACGTAGTAAGCAGTGCAGTGTGGCAAACAGCCTGTGCTGTATTTCTCTTGCATGGGATAGGTGGTGAGGCTAGAACAACTGAATAAAGTGGCTCTTTGACAGTGTTAGCCACATCAGTCCTTCCACACAAAGACAATTACTTTAAAAACTGTTTCTAGAAATAATGGTTTCATTAAAATTAGACTTCGACTTGAAGTATATCTAAATAAAAAATACTGGCTGACACAGTCAGCATGGCTCAGTTTGGTAAACGAAGTGCTGGTGCTAATCTCTCTCCAGAGCAATCGCCTCTAATCTTCACATACCCATAAGCAATAAAATTACACAAGGTTACAACCTGCTCCGAAAGGCGTGGGTTGACAAACATTGCTCTAGAACTAATACTGTATGATCCATACAAAATATAAACATACAATACATAGTCACATTTAATTCACTTTTAGTCCCTGTGCAATTTAAGTTCAACTTTTCTCATTAATACATTTTTAAACTGTAAACCAAAGTAGAGAGACAGAGTAATTGTATCAATTTCTTTAGAACGTTTAAGGCTTTTACTTTTTATCTGAAGTTGCCTATAAGCTTTTACTATAATAAAGACAGTTACATTTCTCCTTCAGTTACCATTAACTGAACTTATGGTACAGAATTTAAGTACCTGAAGACAAAGTCCACTGTCCCCAGGGCAGATGAGTGAGCTACTAGTTGAAAGAGATACTCCTCAATTACCAACAAGCTGCTAAAACAGAAGTTTTCCACAAAAGAATAAATCTGTTCCTATAAATTAAGTCTGTGGGCTTTGATCAATAATGGTACAATATAATTGGCAAGCTTCCATAATGCAATCATTTCTTCACAAAGAACTGAACTGAGACCAGCTGTCAAACAGCAAAGTGTTTTAGCTCCTGCTTGAGGATCATTTCCTAAGGATCCAGGTGTACAAATGATCTGACACCCTTTGACATGGGAGGAAAAAGTGGGACTTGGTTCTGAACTCAGCAGGAGCCAGCTGCTACTTTGCTACAGGCAAGAAGTTGACAGAATTTTACAGACTCTCTTGCTCTTGCGGAAGTAGCAGCTTCTTGCAGCTGCTGAGCTCCTTCATGTACTCAGAATACACTATTACTAAAAAAGAAAGAGGATGATGGTGATCAACAAAAAAGCCTAATGGTGTGACAAACTCTGTATCCTGCCATGCCAAGCACTCCTTAAAGACAGTTTTTCTCTTGCAAAGCTAGAAGCAAGTTCCACTAACAAAGCTTCTTTTTTTAAAAAAAAAAATAATTAATTATTTTTTATTAATAAATAAAATACGTTAAAAACCTTTGGGTGCTACACTCAGTACCCAATGTTGTATATACAAAAGCAGACATACAAAATCACAGCAGTTGACCTTGCTCTAGTAAAAAGAACTGAAATAGGCTTCTTGGGTCACTGAGCCTAGTCCCCAGTACTAAAGGCACCATAGTATTTAATCCCTTTCACAAACACAATAAGCTTCAAGCCTAAAGAGCAGTTAGGTTGCCCCTAGTACCTCCCACTAGGGGACCACTATAGAACATAACAGCTCTGATCCTAAAAAATATTCTCATTTCCAGCCTAAATTTATATCACAGCCAGTTAATTCTTTTGCAAACATTGCCTTTAATATTGGGAAGGCCCTGCCTCCCTTCTCAGTTCTCACCCTGATATATACATTTCCTGTGTATGTATGTGCTCAGGCAGAGAAGGAGAGATGATAATCATACTTATACTCCTTGGTACCCTATCAAAAGATAAGCTCACTGTATTGCCTATTCATCCTTCTTGAACATAAGTGACCAAGACATTGTCTAATCTGTTTCAAGACTGCCAAAAAATAAAGGCAGTAATCGTCCTTCTCAGTTACATGGATGACCGTTGCAATTGCTCTAAGAATCATAATTTTATGTTTGTGTCTGCTAGTTCTAGAAAAGTGCAATGTGTAGAGGGGGTATTCAAAGTTACAGCAATTTTATTTCCCTCCTTTCAAAGAATAGAAATTTGAAAAATAAGTTATTAAATTACACTGGATCCAGCACACCAGGTTCCACTGTCTTGTAGATTTTGCTTAGAAAGACTTCCACTTTATCATCACCCAAGTGACAGATGTCCAAGATGCAGACAACATGTTTGCCATCTAGATCCATCGCTGCTTTTACAATTTCATCTAGAAGTTAAGAAAAAGTGTTTTAATATACATACAGTAAGAAAATATACTGAATTGACATTGGTTTCCATGCAGTAATGTGCATATGTTCAACCTTCTTTCAATGAAAAACCCTCACTCTACTAAATGCTGGCTTATTGGGATTATTTTTTTTTGGTAGAATTTTATTAGTAAATTGAATCACTAGAAATGACATCAGAACTTAGATATGGAAAAGCTGAACTAGGCATTACTTAAATCTCAGATCTCATAGTATTATTCAAAGAAAAGTAAAGATGTATTTAAATAAAATCAGGTCTGTCTGCATAAACATGCAGGAAAACACAATGCTTATACAGCACTTGGCAGTATGATACACATTAATAGCGTTCACCATCCTACTTGTGAGGTGCTAGTAAAGCATTGATCTGAAGGAAAATAATTCAATAGCAGGCAAATACTTCAATTTATAGGCTCTGTAGGTTGCATTAAAGCAGCTGTTGAAAGTGTCATCAGTGAAATGGATTGACTAATTGACACTTGTTCCACTCTATTTCAAAGGAGATCAAGCCAAATATTCACATGCTTAGCCACACATACTGACTTCTATGTCAGCACACTTTTGCATCAACAAACAACTGCAAATACTATCTAGGTCACTTAGGAGTTTGTGGTTTGGATATTAAAATATCCATTTGGAGTATGAGAACAGCTCCAGTAAAAACTGTCTTCAAAGTTCAGTATTACTTCGATTTACCAAACACAGTCACATAGAATTCATGTATCTTTCACTGAAGATGTGAACAAAGTCTGACTTATAACAGATTTCTATAGAGGATTAACTCTTGCATTGGAAGGTAAAACAAGAAACGATAAATGAGTAACAGCAGTGAAAGCCAGTCTCACTTGAAAGTGGAAACATGTCATGAAGCCTTTCATTGCTAGTGGCCTTCTGCTGACATGCAGAGATGCAACTCATACAAGACAATAACGTGTCATTTTGAATATCTTCTAGTTGAAATAAGCGGGGATCTTCAGGACAACACAGTGGAAGAAATGCAACATCTATTGCTACATCGTGGTTTATACCTGTTGAAAAATAATATTTAAGTTAGCAGAAAACTTAATCTTCAGCCCATTAGCAACTACATGTGCCATTTCTCCTTTCTGTTTAAAAACCAAACTATTGCAGGCTGAATACTGATATTTACTTACTTGTTCTGTATCCATTAATTAATAACTTACACCTAAAAATACATTTCAGTATATATATTTGTACATAAGCACATTCAAACTGATACGATGGTACAACGTATCATGCTTTAAGCCTAACAATGCTGTGAGCTCAGAAAATATTAGACCAACACTGGAAGCCATTTCACACTCCTTTTTATGGCTGCTACAAGAGCAGAGAAACTCATTTTACAACCAGTGTATCTATGCAGCATGCAGTGCAGCACTTGTGCTACTTGTCTTGAATATTTGTTGTAAGTCCCAGGATTCTAATGACTGTAAATATCCAAACACCACCTCTGCAAATCCCTCTTAGCAAATAATGGAAACTAAATATGGGAACTTAACATAGGCACCGTTAAACTAGACAATTTCATTTTCCTTTTAATGAGAAAACAAAATCAAACAGATTAATATCCTACAGTAATACTAACAAACAGCTACACATGAACCCAATTATTTATATTTTAACAAATAAAGACCAATCAATTGACATTTTGTGCTAACCAGAAGCAGCAGAGAGCAGTTGAGTATGGCTAAAATACAGCCCTTATTTTCTAGCACGGAAGAAAAGTGCTTTAGGAGCAACAGAACTCAAAAAGCAACTCAATAAGAATAAAGCTCAAAAAAGCATTTTGAGTTGTCCTTTTTCCTTTAACAACACTAACTTGTTTCTGATTAATAACTCTCCAGCAGGAAAGTCAGCTGACAATCAAGTGCAATTGAGTAATTTATCTGATTATGTCAGACTGGTTAAACTAGTGAACAGTACCTACCTCTAATCGTAATAATCAATAGCTTAAGGACTACACACATTCTTCAAATGATACACATAAACCTATACACAAAATTGCAATTATATGAAAAGTGACAGTAGGAACAAGATATCCAGACATTTAATTTAAAGGTATTTTTAATAAGAATTACAGCTTTCTGGTAAAAAAATTACCCTAAATCATGACACTCACAAAAATCTAAACTGTGAATAATTTTTTTAAACTTCAAGAAACATTCAGAATCAACTGATTAATTTAGAGAAATCCATTCAGTTTCTGATGAACCTTCAAGTCATTCTCAAGCTAAGGCAACAAAGAGCTAAGATCTTATATTGCTCTTGCCTAACCTTTTTTAGAAGCCGAGCTACCAAATACTTACCCAGAACTGTCACTTCATAATACCCAAGGCCAGTAGCACTTTTAAACTCATTGATATTTTTATCTGTTCTGGTTTCTTTTGGCTGGTGCACTGCTGCATGAAGGTTGTACTGTTGCATGAGTAAGTCTTTGTGCACATAATCAAATTTACGTGGGATGCTTTCTGGGAAAATTGTGCTGTGATGTAAATATTTCATTAACTTGTCTTTCACTTGTGCCCACAGGTCACTCTGCCATGAATCACAAGTTCTTGCAGTCTCTTCAGTTTCAGGTGGATCACTCATTCCTTCTCGGTCTATTATAAACACAGAAAATATTCAGTTGCTTATACTCTCATAGAATTATATCACAAACATTGTTTCGCACCATTATACTTGGAGAATTACAGTGTTCTCTACAAGCATGAAGACTTAATATTACACAGGAGGCAAATGGCATACAAAAAACCTTCAGAATATTAGTAGTGGGATTAAAAAAAACCCCTTTCTCTTTCTAAAACTTCAATCACGACTTTACTTTTCTCCCTCAATGGTGTTGTAATTTGTGTGTCCTACTTGTACACTCGTTATTAACTGAGCATAAACAGATGTGTAATTAGGACAGCAGAGTAGAAACAGCCACTACGGATTAAACAGTAAGATGCTGAAATCTTTAACAATCTGACCACAGTTAAGAAGAAAAATGAAGCAAATGTTTGAACTCCTCTAGTACAGAGAGCCTCCTGGCAGCAAAGACTACTGTCTTCTTTAAACCAATCAAAAATATAAAAATGGCTATGGTGAACATTTAAAACTCAGAGTACATTCAGTTAGCTTTGAAAGGGGAAAACATGTCAAAATATTTGCATGAAATAAAAAACAGACCAAGCTGCACATGATGACAACTGACAAATTAGACTTCTTCCTTCATCCAAAAATATTATCAAGAAAGTAACTGCATGGAACATGAGCTTGTTTTTCAATTGCTGATTAAGAAAGAAAAATATAATAATACTAACTTAGAAAAATATCCTAAACCAAACATCATTTTTGTTACTGGCTTATATGTTTCATCTGTTTCCTCCCACATCTTGTATTTGTCTTTCTAATTACATACTCATAAAGTTTTGGGGCTGCCTTCCCAGAGAGGGACAATTTTATCACATGCAGATCACTACAGCAACAAAACTGCCAACAGAAAATGTGAGGTCTTATGTTATGTTGCTGCAGTGGCTCCCTAGTGGCTGGTGCAGCCAGGTGTACAGAAGAGCTGTCTTGACAAACAAGGGTTATAAGGATACCTTTGTTGCCTGTTTTGGACCTGAAGAAAAGAAGTAGGCTTAAACCTCCTAAGGTTAAAGTAAACAAGTATTTGCAACGTACCTGTGCAGCATTGTAAACTGTCCGATACAGCCTGATCATTTTTATCTTGCACAAAATCTTCATGTTGAAATTCATTCAAGCTATAAAAAGAAAGTTGTAGTGTATATATATATATATATATATATATATATTTAAAAGCTACTTAACCTTAAACACTATGCAGCAGAAGATCAAACACTGACAGATTTCTAGTGATAAATGACACAAGCTTGAATCAGTGAGCACTAGTACTGGTTTCATAGTATGAGACTTGCAATACGACAGCTTGACATAGTGAGACCTACTATGCTCAGTAAATCAGTTTTGAAGAGCTTAGGACAGTATTTCTTTGCTTTAGAAAAGTATTTTACACTCAAAACCCAGTGTTTGTTGCCCTCTACTGGGCACTCACTGGAAATAGCACGTGTGACACTAAAAGCTGAACTTCACTGATGGCCAACAAGTTTATGACTTAATTATAAAAAATGGATGCACAGCATGCTGCTGCACTTTCATATCAGCACCCTCCAGCAGTCAAAATCAAAGCACAAATGGAGTCACATCATCACTCCAGAATCCAAAATGACAGAGAAATTCCAAATATATATTTTCCTTTGGACATACCACCCTGTTGAAACAACCAGCTAATCAAGCAAACTAGATTTTTGTTATATTTTCATTTTTAACCATGAAACTTTGAATTAATGGTAAGCAACTATTCTCTAACAATATCTAATGAACTACCTAGGATATTAAAAGACTATCTTGTTTACCTGTCATCACAAACAACTGAGACATCGGCAAGACTTTGCTAAGGTACCATTAAAATTCCAGTCTACCAAAGTAGTTACTAATAAAATATTATAACTGCAAATACACAGGGACAATATACAGGCAGGGAAAAAGGAATCAAAGATGAACATGCCATTTAGCAGGACATCCGGTATTTCAGTCATAGGGATTTACAGGGTTTTTTTCCATTTTTTCCCATTTCATACTAGGATATATCTTAAAAATTTAATGCCAATTTTTCATAACAAATGGAAAATACCTAAAATATAGTGAAAAAAGGAAACACATTGTGTTTTTTAAGTATGAAAGTACATTTTATGAAATGCACTATCAACATGGTGTGGGCTAAGTACTGGAGTGACCTTGTAATCTCCAACTTTAGGCAAAAAGAATCCTCACTTAAGCAGCACAAACTATGCAACTGAGCTTTCAGCCACCTAATTTTGTAAACAAAAAAAAAGCTGCCACACAGAGAACTTAAAAACAGCATGACTCTACTTACTTCCCACCATCAACCCAAGCTTCTGAGCAGAGTTGTGTTGAAAATGCTGGCAAATGAAAATTTGTATTTGTTTCTATGTGATTTTGTATTTCTCCAAAGTATTTTTCAAATTTTGAGGTCCGAGGCAACCTCTGAAAGATTCTTGCAAGATGTCAGATCTAAGTTTGTGCACTGGTATTTTTATGTCTTTCTCATGAGAAGAAGCACAAAAGTTTGTCTCTTTCAGTAATTACATTGTGCTTCCTATGGTATTATTTCTAGATAAAAGCATGTTTCCATGAAAATAGTATCTTATGAAGCATTAATTGCCTTTACAAGAACCATCATGGAAAGTAATTACTGTGTATACATAAAATTAAATTAACATTTACGTCCCAGCTATATTAACGCATTTTCACACCATTAGAAGACATTTTCAAAAGTATTAACAAAAGCAGTCTAATTAAAAATGAATGCCCACAAAATGAAGACTCAGACTTCTCAACAAGAGACATGAAGATCTAGCACAATGTTAGGAAAAGCTTGCTCAGAAATCAACGTGTCAAGTTAGACACATGCCAACTTCCCTCTTCATTAAAGCAGAGGATTAAACCAAATCACACGCTGACAAGTCAGTATTATGTAATTTCTTTTAAAATTGTCTAGTTTTGGAGCTGAACAGGCTCTGACTTAGAGCTAGTAGAGCCTCTGAAAAATATGAAAATAACTTGTCACAATTTTTCCCCACTTCTTTCACAGATCGGTAGCTGGGATGATTTCTCCCACCTGCCTGACCTGTTTCCTACACGAAAAAAAACTGGATGTGTGTACAGCCCAACTTGTGTTAGATTTGTAAGGGAAACCTGCTTGTTTATACATACACACAGTTTATATGCTGCTTTGCCAGCCAGTAAGTCTGTAAGCCACTGGATAGAACCCAAATCCTTCCATTTACTGCAATGTGTTGTGGCTGTTGTACATCACAACACCCACATTCCTATTTTGCCCATGCCAGCTTTATGAGAGCTTGTGCCATGCCAAATTTGCTATTCCCAGCCTGCATTCTGCAGAATCACAGAATCACAGATGCCCACTTGCAAAAAAGCCTTTATTCAGTATTTCCAGATGCACTGGTATTCACCTTTTCAGTCATTTTACTTTAAAGTATTGTCAGCAAAAATAACATTAATCAAAATAGATGGCAGATGAATACTTTTATAAAACACGGGGAAAATAAGCACGTCTTGTGCTTCACACCTATTTCCTAAGCACTTGGCCTAAAAAATAATTAAGAAAGAAAATAGTTACAACTTGTAGCTATGCCCAAATGATGCAAGGGGTTAAAGTGCCTCAGAACAACAAAACACCCCACTCACTGATAAAACTGGTAAAAGCCTTATTTTATAGACTGGTTTGAAATCAACTAAATTGTCATGACACCATTAAGCTATACGTATCTACCATAGGAAGCACCAGAGAAACCAAACAGAGCTGCCTACAATAATTTGGCAAGTCTACACAAATTCATTGTTGCCAATTTCTCCCTGAAAAATTCTGATTTCTATGAAAAAGGGGCCTGAAGGAAACGTCAAATTCTGGGAAACTTTCAGTCATGCAAACCTCAAGCTGAATTTCTCCGTATTACAGAATCCCCATCCCTTAACTCTCATCAGAGGGGAGGGAAAAAGGAGGAAAGGGTCCAAGTTACGTAAACATTTAGAAGTGAAACTGCAAGGACAGAAACATACGAACAAGTTAATTTCAAGCAGTGCAGAGAGAGAGCATGTAGCGTGCCATCAAATCCATGGTAATTGCAGTGCTAAACTTACAAAGATTAAAATGCTAAGAAAAATACTGTGGGTTTTTTTTTCGCTTCCACATAAAAATAAGCCTTTCTGAAATTCCTGATCTTCCCCCATTCACAACTGACTATCAATTAAACTACTTTGGGGTGTATCAAATGCTTAAAAGTATATTTATAAAGTGGAATGTCTCTACTAGCAAAGACATAAATATCAATAACAATATTAACCAGTTTCTTCTTACCTTGTCCTTTCTGAAACCCTTAATTATCAGATAAATAAGTTACCTCAGAAATGTAGGAACTGAGGCTGTCAATAAAGAGCCTTAAAATAAGCCCTTACTGTTTAAAAACAAAAAAAATCATAAACTGAAAAACTGCATAAAATACTTGATGCAAAATAATCCAAGCTAGAATAGGTATTTCAAAATATTTCTCTACTGTTGTTATTTCATCAACACATTAAAATATTTAAGTGAGAGCTGACATTCTGCTACTTTTAAGCAACAGAACAGAAAACAATGCAATTTTAAAGTATGTCAGGCTAACTTTCTATTTTTCTTCCGCAATTTGGAGAATTCAGCACAACTTCATAGTTAATTACAGAAATACACAAGTTACCTTTTAATTATATAGAGTGAAACAGCTTTCCATAATCCAACACAGACTTTCTCCTCCTTTAGTTGGGGTTCTAGAACTAATGGCATAGAGTGGACACACAGGTAGCGAGGAGAGTAGGAGATTGAGAAAAGCAGAGAACAAAGTAAACATGCCTTAACTTTTTGCTTCACTTTTAAGAAATGGGGAGAAAACACTCTTCCCACCCTCCACCCCCAAGAAAAAATGGAGCATTTCTCAATAAGTGAGAGAAAACAGGATTCCTCACATTTCAAAAACCATCCTGATTTTCCTATGTATTTGTGCCACAAGTTCTTGCACCACCTGCAGAGATGTGACCTTAAAGGCAGGTGTCAACACTTTCAATTAATGGGCTGCAGAGCCAGGTGACCATTTCTCCTAGAAAATGCAGTATCTACCAAAAGGACCAGAGGAAACAACAGACATATGGGCTTAAAAAGCCTCGTGTATCCCACAGAAAAAGCTAGGGTATACGTACTCATGAGACAAGCTCAAATCGACGTTGACAAAAAACCCAAACATCTGAAGTTACTAACACCAAAGAGTTCGAACATTCAAGTTACTCGAGCTGTATTTGGAACAAATGACAAGAATTTATGTCCTTTAAACAAAATGCACTAAGGAAAGTAGCTTCTTAGCTCAGACTAGCAAATAATAACACTCATTCAGTTTTCTTAATAATTTCCCATTTGTAGTTATTTCATTAGGTTCCAGACTTGTCAGGACTCTGTATTGAAATTCTTACCTGGATTTGAAAAAGAAAAAAAAAAAATCCTTGTCTGGATCCAAACCAAGTTCAATAAAGACTGAGTGTTGAGAGAGCCAAGTGGCTTTCAGGGACAACTGTACTTACACCTCTGTAGCATCAAGGATGATGTACAGCTCAATCACCACTAGCAAATCCATTAATGCTATTAAATGGTTCACTCTGCTTGCTAATTAAGCATCCCTCCCTTCTACCTTTGACTTTCCTACTTAGACTGTAATCTCTCTGAAACAAAGACTACAGATTACTCTGCTTATCATGAGAGACCCTGTTACTATATCGTCCCTAAGTAGCACTAGTAGCAATATAAGAATATGTTTAATAATGCACTCAAAATTATGTTTCAGAATAAAATAATCCAATACATTTGAACCAGAATCAGTGCAGAGGAAGTGAACAGAAAATACGAAATTCTACTGTGACCTGTTCTTTCATTTCACTTCCATACAGGTTCCTGACCCGCAGAAGTTTCATTTCAAATAACACTGTTTCATCACTGCAATTATTTAACATAATTAACTTCACAAGACTTACCCAAATTTTCTTCTTGCAGACCGTGTGAAATAGGGGTAAGATGATACAGGAATGACAGATGCACTTCCCCTTAAAGCAGGAAATTCACCATTATTTTAGAGTATTTAGTTAAATGGAAATACACAAAGTGAAGGACATACAAGTTTTTCTTTCAGGTAAAATTAACCTAAAACACTCAAATGTTGGAATTTTCCTTACGGAACTGAAATCCACTAACAAGTTTGCTGTAACACTGCCAAGACAGAACTTCTATTCATCAGGGTTTTCTTAGTCTTAAATTTTCATTCAATCCTGATTATATTTAATCTCATTTTCCCTCAAAATGTTCGGAATACCCACCCTCTTCCCACATTATGACTTCTGGATGTGAAAAGATGAGAAGAAAACTATACCCTTTACTGCATGAGAAATCCACTACAAAAAAAAAAAATGATGTGACTGGCTAGATTTTTTCAACATTAAATCTGTCAATGTATACACCAGGCTTTTAATACTAAGTATGGGTACCTGAGATTTGAATGCCCCCTCCCTGGAAGTGTTTAAGACCAGGCTGGATGAGGCTTTGAGCAACCTGATCTAGTGGAGGGTGTCCCTGCTGAAGGCGGGGGGATTGGAACTAGATGATCTTTGAGGTCCCTTCCAATCCAAACCATTCTATGATTCTATGATTTTGCACAAACTTTGCAACAAAGGGCAATCTTATACAAGCAGATATTTTACTTATCAATCTAATACGGTTGTATCAGACAAATTATTTTCTCTTATTCCATTTCCTTATATAAAACTGATATCCTTTGTCTATGTCTGACTAAATGCAATAAAATTTCATGAAATCCCATCACAAGCAGAGCCATACTACTACAAGTTATTTTGAGCCTTTAGGTGAGCCCATGACCACCATCTACTTGCCTTTCTGACAATAAGTTACAGCTACACGCAGTACATTCCATTAACCAGAAAGAAAAAAATAAGGTATGTTTGAAATTAAGGAACAGGTACAGCAGATCCAGAGTCTGCATTTTCAGTGAAGAAATCTTATTTCCTCACACCACTGTAACTGTTTCTTGTTCCATCGCTATGTCACTAAACTATATATGGTTCAAGTATTAACTACTTCTATTTCAAATCTATGAGATTAACAACAAAGAAGCAAAACTACTAATCAGAAGAGGGCACTGCAACCCAGACACCTGCTTTAATCAATCCTTCATTAGCCTGAACAGTATAATTGTCATCACCTGTCGCTAGGAAAAGACCTTTTAAAGATTAAATTATATATGCTTTTAAAGCTTTTTTATATATTTTCTATGGCCTGGATTCTGAACTAATTTCCGTGAACACTTTTTAGAAGATCAACCACATATTTATGAAGAGAGCTTACTGTTCTGCATCTGCATTTAATCTGCGTGGTATCTTTCTCTTGACTGAACTCTTTTTTGACAGTTGAGCTTGGTGCTGATGATGTTCCCCAGGAGTGCAACGTGGCCCCAGAAAAGACTTAACTTCTTTATTTTGAAGGTTGGTGGTTTTTCCCTTGTGAACACAGTCTTCTTCGGACATAGCAGAACTTTCAAGAGACTGAGAAGTATCTTTCTGCAACAACAGTTAATTGATTAAGAGTTTCAAAGCTACTGCTTTCACCTCAAAAACCTAAAAGTTTTAAAGTAACTTTTAAAGGGCAGAATAATTTACCTTCTGAAAGTCATGTTATATCTAACAGAAATTATCTTCTAGTCACATTAATAAGATAAATTCTGTCTAGAAAGTGACAGTGAGCATGTTCAGTAGTTGCCTCTCCCACATTCTAATTTACATTAGGTTATCCAGTCATCTAGTAACTTCTAAACAGTTAGAGGAGTGCCATAGCACTTTCAGAAAAGCACTGAAATCATTGCTTTTTAAAAAGTTCTCAATTATGACTTTCAAAAATTTTGCTCTCAAAATAGCAAATGAAGTTAATCAAGAGACAATGTAATGAGGTTCTGAACTCAAATGCAAAATTCTCCATTCTAATTATGATCCTAGTTGCTTAAGTGCTATAGCACTAATTCTCAGACACTGTACCTGAACAAGTTCCGCTCCTGAGGCTTCTGCAGCTGCATTGCTACAGCTGATGTATCTTATGGCACTAATTATCCCCTGAACAGCAATGCGCTTGTGTTCTCTGTAGTGCAAGTCTTCAATCTCTTTCCCCGTTTCACCTATGGCTTTCAAAATGGATTCAACTGCAAAAAAGAAATTTACATAAACAAGTTTTAAAGAAATACAATATCAAAATGTTGGAAAGCAGGACTCAAAAGTAAAGATAATTTGCTACTAAATATTAAATTTATTTAAAATTATATTTAAACCTTTTTGTTTTTCACATCACATGGAAAAAATTTAAGCAATAAACCCTTTTAGCACACAAGCATCTTTTAGTATGCATTATCAGATATCAGGATTTCTGTTTCAGGTGAAATTTCTAGTTCACTGTATTCTTCTGTATAACTGTCTTTAATTCTGATTTAGCAGAATATTAGGAGTAAAACTTCTGGGCAGATCTGTAGCTCATGTAAGCTGCTACAGTTGTAAGATCAGGATTTAGCCTATGATACATCTTGTCATGAAAGGGAGTTTTTCTTAAATGACATTGCAAATATGTGTAAACACTAATAGTAACTGTGTTGCTTTTTAACTGATGCTTTAAATGCTTGGAGTAAGACTGAACTGACAAAGGCTACAAATCTTAAAGATACTTCATGGTATGATACCTTTATTGTTTTTACAATATTTCAAGAAGTTATTTGGAGGTCGTGGGAAGGGATAATAGCCACCAATGACAGTTTTCTTCATTTGATCAGCTTCACTTTGTGTTTTAGTCCACTGAATGAAGTTTTTCACTTTGGTATCCTTGGTGTATGGCTGGCCCTTGTGCCACCCTTTTAAAAGAAAAATAATCAGGTATCAAAACCAAAGCAGGGTACTGTCATCTGTTCTCATCTTGAAACTATCCTGAAAACTATGCAGAAAAGACTAATTAAGAAAAACTGGACTAGAGAATATAAAAGACATCTTTCCACTGGTCAACAGTGTTTTATGAAATGAGTACCTTTAATTCCTTGACTAACACTTGCATTTGACGCTGGAAGTTAGATAAATACTAAGTAATAGAAAGAAATAAAACAACTAGCAAAAATGGTACGAGAATACTTTCTCACAAAAGCATACAAAACAAAAAATGATCAGAAATTGTTCTATTAGCAGGAAAAGAGCAGATAAATAATCTTCATAAGGTTCAGCAGAGATTGTTACTGACAGGTAACTGACAAGATATGTATTCACTGCTGGCTAGTTTAAAACCAAAATATGGACTAAATACCAGTTTTATCAAATATATTGTAATCTGACCAGGTCTACATCTACCCTGTGAGCTAAAATAGATCTTCTCCAATGGTTTGCAATCACCAGCTCTAGTTCTCATGTAGGACCAAAGCAGACATAAAATGAATTGAAGCTAGGGTGGGAGAAAGCTTAAGTATTTAATCAGAAAATTAAGCACAAAATATACTGAAGGAAAGCAAATATACCTCTTAAATCCTTAATTAGGAGTAAATTAAATAATTAGAAACCTATTAACAAAAAGACTAGCTTGCTTTGCTAGTCCAGTTAAGCACAAAACACCCTACCCAGCTTGTCAGGAAAGAACATGTGTACAGAACTGACTGTGTTCAGGTACCTTTTTAGCACATATTTTTCTCTATTCCTATTGGTCAGTGGAAAGATTCAGACTGGGCAACTGATATGTTAGGAAGACTGAAGAAATGAGATGGATAAACAGAGGAAAGATACACCTACTGCATCTTATACTCCCTTGCATTTAGGCCAGTATATCACTTGCCTGTATCACTGCTATAATCTGCCTCCTGACTGAAGAACAAATATACTACAAACAGCTGTGCCTGGTTCTGCCTGTGAGGTGCTCACTGGTGGTACCTAGTGTACAGTCTCACAGGACTGCAGAGAGTATTGGCACTGCAGACGGGAGTATTCAAATAAGACTATCAAGAAGAAGCCCAGCACCACATCCCTTCCCAGACCATGTGGTCTGCATAAGACCCTGCACATTGGGAAAAATGAAACACAATAGCTCTCCAAATATGTAGTGAAAATGATTAGCTAAGATAAATTTAGGACAACTATACCCTTTTTTTTTTTTAATAAGGAAATCTGTAAGCCAGAAAAGCTGCAAGTGATTTTTTAAATGTTTTTAAGGAAGTGGTAATATAATATCAAAGGATTAAAACAGTTTGAAAAAATCAGTAAACACATGAGTTAACCTAGTAATACTCATGTCCTTTTCATAAGATACGCTCACTAAGGCCTCACGAGAATGTAATTTGCCTTTTCCTTTTTGCAATGGTATTTCATTATTAACTCAAAGTCATTTCTGACAGGGAAATTAATACTATGCACTGATTATTTTGTTATAAAATGAAAATGCCCTTTGCAAAGAAATAAGATGAAAATTACATAAAATTAAAACTAGGTTAAGTTACCTGTAATGAATATCTGACTTTCATTTGAAGTCGTAAGGTAAATTGTGCTGGAAGGATTCTCAGTGAGGTCCCGTACCACTCTCATCTGTGTACACACCAAATACGTCACTGCAGGAAAAAAAAACAACCCTTCATTTTTTTTCCTGATATTGCATTGAATTTAGAATGTCAAGACTGACACACAGTGGATTAATTTTATTAAGTGGTCTAAATGGCATTTTAGTTCTTAACCCTATAAATGCTTCAGCATGGATTGAGCCTCTGTTATAAATTACAATATGGAGATGTAATTAAATTTTCAATTTAATAACTGTGCAAGGAATTTTCAGCATACATATTAGGACTAAAACATGAGCTACTTTATCAGGTAGGATACCAATGAAACACACAGTAAAAATACAGATATTAGCTGGCTGTGTTTCTTAAGGATAAAAAGCATAAAATCAGGGAAAGCACAAGAAATCTTGACATGCCACTGCAAAACTTCTAAATAGAGTACAAACTCACTCTTTTGTTAATATCTCAGTTAAACACTGAAATGTCATTCTCTGACATTTCCCCAGAACACTCAAGATGAATGCAGCCATAACCTTAAGTGGGTTGGGCAGTTGGTCCTGCATCATATGATATAAAAAACGCATGTGCCACCAACCAGTGTTAATGGAAAGATGAGAGAAGAGAAAGAAGGCAAGAAGAAATATTTAAACCTCTTTTAAAATCCTTAATTAAAGATTCTCCAGTTTGAAATTTACCATTCTTAGCTCTAACACAGCTAGGTGATGACTGCTGTTTGGATAAAAGATGTTTATTCAAACAAATGAAGCTTTTCCACTTTCACCTCTCCCTTCCTCCAATCCTCTTAAATTATTCATGTTTATTAAAAAAATACTTGTTTACAGGACAAAAGGAGTAACATATCTGACCAGCTACCTTCTTTATTTGCCTCTGATGCAAGAGATGTTGCCTCAGGATCTTCACTTAAGTTTCTGGTTGAAATTAACAAGATCAGATGAGCCCCAGGCCCAGCTGCTCATCTATTTGTTTAGACTAACTGGCAACTGGCAGATTGCAACATGATAAGGGTTTCAAATACTTTTTTTTTTTTTTAATTTTAATTTCTGATCAGCTATTTTCTTTTTGAAGAGATAAACCATGGCAATTTTTTATTCAGTGGCAATTATACTCAGAATTTGAAATTAGCAACCTGCAACAAAAACACTATAAATAACGATTAGTTAAGTATTAGAGAGAGATGAATACTTGGGTGAATGTGTTCAAACACATCTGGCTGGGAAGTTGCAAATAATTCCAGTATGAATGGTTGGTCTGAGGTCCCATCAATGGCATGTGCCCAACGATAGAGCCAGAAGTCTTCACCCTGTTCTATATAAACAAATATGAAGAAAAACATGTAAGCATTTATTCAGAAAGTTTAAAATTGTTTGATAAATTCTGAAAGTCGTATTTATAGAAAAACCTCTCTTTCTTGCTCGTTCAGCCCTTCCTACAAATGTCACAAGACCAATAACATCACAGGAATGATTGTTTGGCAAGTCATCCAGTTCTGACCTAAAACCAAAACAGAAAAAAAAAGTGGGTATTTGTTAATAACGAAACATAAAGTTTTCTCAGAAACTTTTCAAAAAACATTTCCGATTAACATTCAGTGGAATGCAGCAAAATTTAAGTTCTAGTTTGACAACCAACAAAATTCTATTTTACCTTGTGATAAACCGATATTTAACTTCAGGTAATCCCCACTCTGGCTTTACCATTTCTTCTGGAATAATATTTATTTTAGTAGGAGGGTCTCGAACATTAAGGCTGATTTCTGACAAAGAAAAAAAAAGTCAGTAACATTTAAGGCATGAATATAAATTTAAAAAAAACTTTTCAAAGGCCACAAAAACCCCAGGGTAGAGTTTCTTAAATGAAGTATTCCAACTTTGTCTCACTGCTTGTGAAATTATTAATCAATTCCTCTGACTTCATGTTTTCATCGAAACAAAGTAAGGAATTCAAGTACAGCATTCAACAATGCAATTTTATAATCTGAGCAATGTTAAACTTTCCAATTCCCTGTGTGAGCCAGTTAGTCTGAGCCAGTCAGATATTTTAAAAACCAGCAACCAATACTACAATACTGATTAGATACGAAGTACTTTTTACACTAGCTTCATTCTCAAATGTCACCAAGATCTAAAACCAACTTGCAGATAATGAAGTAAAACAAAACCCAGAACTAGAGATGAGAACTTCCACGTCTGATACCAGTTCAGGTAGTTATTAATATGACAGAAATACCCCATGGGCATGGAGGAAAATTAAAGGTCTTCTCATGTCTCTTCTATAGCATCTGAAACATTTAATTTATTAAGCAGACTGTTTAAATGCTGAATAACAAACATGGTGGAGCACTGGGGGAAGCGATCAGTTCTGCAACCAGATAAAAAAGTACAGGAGGAATGGCTTCAGTATCTAGAAAACACAAGGTGGTACTCTATTGTTGCTCTCATTAACAGGACAAATCTTGCTGGTATGAAAAAGACAGATTCTGATGAAGTTTCTACAAAATGGGTGGGTTTGGGTAAGGGATTATTCAAATAATAATAAAAGTAATTAAATAGGTACAAATAATGTGTATAATTATTTATATAATTACAGCTGGCCCCTCACCCTAGTGGTGCATCATTAGGAAGGTGTTATACCTGAAATCAGACCTTCTACTTTAGAATTTTCTTTTGGCTGCTGCTTTCTAGAAATGTATTTGAAGGACAATTGTGGTTTTGTATGTGGTGTTTTAGGACAGTATCTCAGAGAAAATTCCCGAAAACAGAACTTTCCCATGCATCAAAACTATTTATCAATTGTTTCATCATTCTGAGATTAGATGAAGGTCACATACTCAACTCAGGACTGTACCCTGGGATGATTCAGAAGCTAAGGTCAGTCCAGGCTATTGAAAACAGCAGTTTTCGTCAGCACCACATAAATTCAGTGATCTGTGAAATGCACTCACTGCCTAGCAGTGGAATTCAAGGTGTTGGTACTAAGTATTTAAGCTCCAAAGGTTTTAGGTCCTGAAACAGCACCTCTCAGCATGTCATACAATGCTGCAGCTGCAAACGGAGAACTCGCTTCAGAGAGATCTAGAATATGCCAGAAGCATACGGTCTTGCAAGAACTCTAAATTTAGAAAGCCCCTTCCCTTGTGGCTTTATTAACCCTTCAGATACATTTTACATTTACAGGTGAATGGTTGTAAGGAAACACTGGAAAATTGGGATTTGATGGAATTACAAATTGGAAATAGATGATTTAAAAAGCAATTGTTTCTTAAGCAATTCAGTGTAATTGCTTTAACTAGCTCGGTGAAGAACTTTTGGAGCACTCATTGTGCATACTTAAAAAAACCTGAAATACTGCCCCATATTTGGCATACACAGAGATATTTATATTACAGAGTAATCAGTGAGGCATTAAATTTCACTTCATCTCAACAAAAAAAACCACCATGCACCTGGAGTTGCAAAAAATAGATTTTATAACTACTCCAGAAGTTTTTCTGGATAGCCTGTTATCTTTAGACTCTCTTCTTACAGGGCATAAAATCCATGAATTCATGGTATTATGTGCTTTGTAAATTCATACTAAGACAAAATTCTGAGCTTTGTGCTGCAAAAAGAAGATACTGTACATACATTGATATGAACTGAAGATTAGTAATTTCTACAGTTTATTCGTGGTCTGAAAATACACCATGGCACTTTACTATACACTGACTTTTAACTCTTCTATTACACACCTTTTACCACATAAAGCCCATTGGCCTAATTTTCCATCTTGATCTCTTAGTTAACATTTCTACCCTAATAACACTCACAGAAATCAGTAGTGTAATGTGAATGAAGCCATTAAAATGAAGTTATATTTGCCCATAGAGAAAGTCACCTCAGACAGCATATTTTATTCTGTCCTCTTCCCATAGAAATGTTTTGTGGCAATTATAATTGTTTTCAGGGCTGCCTTGTAATCATCATCAGCTTCCCTCACAAACTTCCATTCTTGGCTAAACATTTCTCTCTCCCACCAACTCATCACAAACATTTCAGACATTAAGATCTCATTTTAAGGCAAAGATACATTAGGCAGAGAATACACTGCTTCTAGCAGTGAAAACACTGTTTATTTTTGTGCACTGTAGCAAGTGCATTAGGAAACTGTCATTGTTAGCAAGTGATACATACATCATCCTTCAGTAACATACACATTTGCTTGTCTCAAGGAAGTTATCTGAATTTTCTGAACGTTGGCTGTCATTTTGTTCTAAGTACAAAAGTGGAAAGAACTCGTGTTCACAAAAGTAGGAAATAAAAAAAAAAGTTGAGCAAACCCAGTTTGAAAAGGCTGTTATTGTTATATTGCAGCACTTTTATTTCTGTAGCATAGCTCCTTTGAATAATCTGTCACACTGAACAACTGCAAATAAGAAAATACTTTTCCATAGGCAAGGAACATTCTCCATATATGCACTTCCACGGCGCTACTGTTCCAGCGCAGACAGCAGTCAGCAATGCAAGCTTTTATTCACTGGAGCTCTGCAGATACTCTGTGCCTTGACCATATACCCTAAAATCTAAAGTCATATCAGGTGACAATGTGTTTCAATGACCTGGAAGGTGTGAGCAGTGCACAAAAAATATCTGTATTACTAATCAGGAAGTAGAATCAGATTACAATTCAGTACTAGAGGCCTGTCTTTATGGCCCCAATACTTGAAATCAGGGATTAGACATTTATTTTTTAAAATAAAGTTTTCAACTAATTATGGCAATAAACTTTGTAGACATGATCCAAATATAAACAGGGAACAATAAGAACTTGGATGCTAAGACACCTTTCAAAGCTAATATTTAAGGATATACACCTTATCAATTAGTCTCAGCAATGGATCACTTTCTATTTTATTTCTAAGAAGAGATGCCCTTTAACAGCTGTATTTCACTGAATCAAAATATGTTTCTGCAATACTTAACCAATTGTAGCAAATCTCTTCATCTGTGAATCCCCTGGAGTTGGCTGTGTTTTAAATGGGTAACTGCTTTTGATAGCATACTGTTCAAGAAGAAGTACCGTGCCAACCTTCATACTGTTATACCATTCAGGACATAATGAATTCCACAAAACCATAGACATCATGCCTGAACCATCAGCAACTTCAAAGTAAGCCTACAGAAAAAAAGAGACAAAACACATTCATCTTTTATTTATCATCATCATCATGGTATGTATTTATTTTGCATAATGCATCAGCTACTTGATTCATGAACAATTTATCTGATGATTACAAATGGATACAGAGTATGTTCCAAAACCTGTATTGAATAATAGAGTTGAAGAAATCCCCAATTTCCAGAAAATAATTGTTCCACAACTAGCCCAGACCAAACTCTTTATCTTTCCAGTGCTCAGTAATGAGAGGTGATGCCAGTTTCACTCTATGTTTTTTTTGAGGTGGTTGGGAAAATACCATGCACAAGAAACAATACTGAAATGACACTTCTTTATCAGAGAGAATGATGTATTTAGAATAACATTTCAAAATACTCATGAAGGAAAAACTTATTTTTGAAGTTGAGATGTTACAGGACCATTTTCTAAACATTCTTGATCAAAACATGATACAAGTCTGATTATCAAGCAAAAAAAAAAAGCAGAAAACAATCTGCATTGCAAACCACTATCTTCTAATTGAAGTGTTCCTCATAACAAAGATTTCTACCCATTTATTTTTTTTTTTTAAACTGGGCAAACTTTGAATCCATAACTGAGCAGTGAAAAAGGTTTTTAAACAGTCAGAGTCCATTCTAATATTCCCAATTAGTCATGAACTGTGCACTCTTGAAAGTAAACCATTATATCATTGCATCTTTTGTTATCCCATTGGTTCTAATCTAGTAACAATAATTCAAGACACAACACTATCTAAAGGAAGAATGCATAAAGCAAAAAGCATGCAAAAATCTGTCTCCTAATTTCTTGAGCTAAATCAGCTCTGGGCATTGATTCTACACCTAATACCACAAAATGTGTCTGATGAACTGCCACGCAAGTTAGGGGTATCATCTAGACTGCCCACTGAGAAGCACCTCCAATAAAAACACGCAGATTTATCTTCATGTGCAAAGGGAAGAGAAGCTTGGAAGAGATCACAGCCCTTCTGTAAGACATGTGATACCTCTCTCCCCTCCATGGAAGAGTTCACATGAGTTACTGGAGCTCTTTGTAAAGTGTTGCTCTCCTGTGCGGGGTCTGGCTGGGATGGAGTTTATCTTTTCCATACCAGCCTGCACAGTGCCGTGTTTTAGATCTGTGACTAAAACAGCGTTGATAACACACCAGTGTTTTAGCTGCTGCTGAACAGTGCTTGCACAGTGTCAAGGTCTTTGTTTCTCACTCTGCCACTCCAGCGAGTAAGCTAGGGATGGGCAAGAGGCTGGGAGGGGACACAGCTGAGAGAGCTGACCTGGACTGACCTATATTCTGTGCTCAGATATAAAACAGGCTGCTAGTCTTTCTTCCCAAAGCACCTGTTGCTCAGAGACTCGCTGGGCATTGGTCTGCTGGTGAGAGATGGTGAGCAACTGACTTTGCATCACTTCTTTGCCTTTTTCCTTCTCTTTATTAAACTGTCTTTATCTCAACCCATGGATTTTTCCTCACTTTTGCTCTTCCAATTCCCTCCCCTACTCCTCTGGAGGGAGCAGGGAAGAGAAAACTACCAGCTGGTGAGTGTTTAGTTGCTGTCTGGGACCAACCCACCACACCTCCTGTGTCCATTTCCAACAAACTCTATACAAAAAATATCACATGTAATACATATTAGGAAAATAATTAAGAATTTTACAGTAAAACAATCTACTTGGAATTTACCAGGTGAGAGAATTAGGGGATACAAATTATTAAAATTTGTGGGTTTTTTTTTTTTTTTTTGACAAGACAAACTGAAGTTTCTGAAGCATAGAGACCAGAAACATTTAGGCTGTTAAGATACTAAAAATTCTAAATATTTTTTTCTTCACAAAAAACTCAACTGAACTATAGTAACTGAAACACATCCACCAAAGTTTGTACATCCAATCACTAAATTCACCATTTCCTACTCTAAAGGGCTCAGCATTTTTGTAAAGGGAGCATTTTTAATATAAAATAGCTACAACATAAATCTTAACTTTATATGCTTACTATATAATAATGGTTTCCAAATACCCTACAGCTATTTGTTCGAGTGTTAACCTATGTATTTATCCCTCTTTACCTGGTAAGGCATATCCATTTTTTTCTCTGGTTTCCCGTAGTACCTTAGTCTAGATTTGTGCAGGACTCTCACAAGAAGTGGATGGAAGTGAACTCCGCTTCTCCAGGTCATTTCCAGCTGACCAAGAGAAGTCAGCTTGGAGACTAAGGTTAAAGAAAAAAAACAAAACACAAAAAGACCAAAAAAAGAACATGCATGATTGATCATTTAAGTTTTCAGGAGTAAAGTGCACAGACCAGGATGTCATATGTATTTTCTTAGTGTTTCTAACATTTTAAAAGGCTCATTTGCTGATGTTATTCACCATGAAATCCTGTTCTGAGCTCTCTGCAGATCGCATGCTTTTGGTTTTGGTTTGGTTTCAATTGAGAGTGATGACACATTTAAAATGACACAGAAGTGCTGTCAGACGAGCAGAAGAGCTGCCACAAAAGACAGAGGGGTTAGCCTACGAGGGCACGACGCTGGTGCAGAACTCCTGCTTACAGCTCCCTCCCCAGGCAGCAGGCCCGTGGGCCTGGCCTGAGCCCCTCCACACTGACCACACTCCGGGTGGCAGCTTCCAGCACCCGGTCCCGCTACGGGAACGGGTGTTTCTGACACCTCAGAAGACAACCCCCGCCGCTGTGTGCTGTCGGTCGGGGTTTCATACAGTTTAAAAACCCTCCCAAAGGCACGGGAAGATGTGAACTGCGACCGGTGCAGCAGTTCGTACCGCTGCCCAAAGCAGCCGCAGGGTCACTGCGGACCGGGGAGCTGGGCCCGGCTGCGCAAGGCGCCTTCTCGCCTCGGCGGGCCCCGCGGGAC